GAAGTCATAAGTATAGGGAAGGATGTTTTGAACAGGATTCCATTCACACAGGAAATATGAAGAGTCAACAAATGAGATAATACTAAATTAAAACGCTTCCTCATAGCAAAGAAAACAATCAGCAGAGTAAAGCAACTGCATATAAAAATGGGAAAATGTTTATGCCAGCTATTTCTCAAAGGCCTAATATCTAAAATGTACAAAGAACTAAAAAAAGACCACCCAGAAGAAAAGATGCAATAAAAAATGTGAAATTGAAATGAATAGACAATTCTCTGAAAAAAGAAGTAAAAATGGCCAATAAACATATAAAAAATGTTCAACATCTCTGACCATCAGAGAAATACAAACTAAAACAACACCAATCTCATCTTACACCAGAAAGAATGGCAATCATCAATCTTAACAGATTCTGGCATGGCTGTGGTGGAAAAGGAACCCTTCCTTAACCCTTCTACGTTGTTGATGAAAATGTAATTTAGTATAACCACTATAGAAATTAGTGGGGTATTTCTCAAATAATTTAAATTAAAACTTATATTTAACCATGCTATTCCCCTTTTAATTATCTTCCCAAAAGGGCTAAAGATGTCATATTACACAGGTACATGCTTGCAAATGTTTATAGCAGTATAATTGATATTAGTCAAATCCTGGAATTAGCCAGGGTATCTATCAGCAGACAAATGGATGAAGAAAGTAGAATATCTATACACAATGGAATACTACTTAGCTAGAAAGAAGGATAAATTTGAGACATTTATAGGAATATGGGAACAACTGGAAAATAAAATGTTAAGTGAAAGAAATGAGGGACAAGTTTAAATACCATATTGTGTCTCTCATTTGAGTAAGGCAAAGCGTAAGTAAAGAGAAAAGTAAGGTTTGGTACAGGGAGAAAGATCTCTTGCAAGTGAGAAGAGGCCCCAGATATCAAGGGCAAGCAAAGACAGGGGATGAGGAGAGGTGGCTGTAAAAAGATTTCAGATGTGTCATGCACGTGTACCAATACCTGCAATGAATGCAGGCATAGTATGTCATACATATGAATGAAAAATAATAATTATATTAGCAGTAAGAGTGAAAATGGAAATGGGAAAAGAAGATTTAGGGTGAGGGAGTAAGGTGGGTGATGATGGGAAGGGGAATAAAAAAGCAGCAAGGTATGCTGAATACGTGTGTCTATCCCCTGAAATGAACGTAAAGTTCATGTACTGCAAACATATACTAACAAAATAAATTTTTAGAAAGAATTGAAGAAAAAAGGAAAGAAAGGAAAATGAAAAATAGGAAAGAAAAGAAAAAGATAAAAACTACTACATGGAGAAATATTTACAATACATCTATTGAGCAAGAAATGTGTGCCCTAGCATTATAAAGAATCTTTACAATGAAGTATAAATAATCAAAATTTTAAAATCTGAAATATAAGAATACTACAAGCAATTCTTATAGAGGAGAGGCACTGAATAAATAATATATCCACAAAGTTAAATTCCAGCCAAAACAAAATGAGAAATCTCTCTTTGAATATATTTCACATAGCACCTGCCTGGTGAACACAAGGTCCTGAGTTTGATTACTGGTACAAATAAAAAGAATTGTATTTCAAATTGAGGACACAAAAAATGTATTATGTGGCACTTATTTAAATAGATAAGAGTTAAGAAACTAACAATTTCCAATGTTGATGATAATGGACAGTAACTAAAAATTTCACATGTCACTAATTGGGGGTAAGAATAACTTTAGAGGATACTTTGGCAGTTTTCTGTAAAGTTAAGGTAGAATCTATTTATGATCAAGCAATTTCATTGTTAGGTAATTACATAGAAGATATACTGACATTCTAAATAGCTAAAAAACAGGAACAGCTGATGCTCTTCAATAGAAGACTGAACAAACTATAATAAGTTCATGCAATCAGATAGTTGTGAAGAAAAACTTTTTAAAACCTATTCATATGAGAATAATATCAATGAATCTTAATAGCATTATGAACAGTGGAAGAAGTCAGACATATATTATTTTGTTCTATTCATATCAGTTTCAAAGACAGGCAAAACAAATCTATTATCATAGAAGTCAGAATATTGTTTCCCATGAAAATTTGCTTGGGGAAGAAGCAGCAGAGTAAAATCTCAAGCGTTAACAAAAGTAAAATTTAATCTCCTACATTTGCTAGCACTTTTTTTTCCTTCTCTTGTGATAGGTATTGCAAAGTCACTAAATTGTTCAGGGTGGGTTCACACTTGCAGTCTTCCATCCTCAGTCTCTCAGAGTACTAGAGTTATAGGTATGAACCACCATGCCTACCGAGTAATGGTTATTTTAAGAAAATTCATTGAATTATACAGTTAAAATCTATGCATTTAATTATTTTTTTCCCTATGTAAAGACACAAATTACTAAAAGTAGAGAAGCTTTTCATATATTTATGTATAATAATTTGCTGTAAATACCAAAATATTTATATATTACATGTAATAAAGTTACAGAACAGTATTAAATTATATGTGCATATGTATCTATATACACACATCTTGAGGTATAGAGGAATGTGCGTGTCCATCTGTCTGTCTGTCTTTCTCTCCAAACAATAGTTATCTCCAGGAAGGAGAAAGTGAGTGGCCAGGGAGGACAGAACAGAGAAGGTGAATTAGATATCATGAAATAGACTCATAAATTTTGTACTTAGTAATATGTTGTGCGATTTTAAAATAAATTATAAAAATGGTTCTGGGAAAAGAAAAGTATTATAATTTTTCTTTTAAAATAACATGAAGCAAAGTAAGTGAGGATCACAGTGGAAGCCAGGTTCCTGGTTCACTGTTCTTTTCATAGTCGTTGTGCTTATAATTATTCATAATGAACAGTTTTATAAATTGTACACCAGAACAAATCTTTCATGACGAAGGGTCAATAAATGGATTATATATGCTGCAGGTTTATTTGGAAAAGTAAAAGGAACACAGGTAAATATGTAGATAAATGAGGATATTTTAGAAAACTGATAAATTATACCAAAAACATGACTTTAGAGGGGAAGGGTAGTGATGTTACAAATACACTATTTAAAATATTTATCTAAAAAAGGCATAGATGAAATAACCAAAATTTCTTGCTAATGTACTTGAAAATCTGCATGGATTAAGATCTTGTAGAAGAAAAAAAGATTATATACAAGACACAAAACATAATTAAAACAACATATAAAAGATGAAAACTTGTCTGAGACAACCTCACTTCCATTATAAACAAGTAAAAATGAGGGAGAGTTCGGGTGATCCCACTGATGGGCTCACTTAACCACTGATGACAATGGAAAAGCTTTAAAACCTATTCTACAGCATAGGGTAAAAAGAAAATCCTCAAAATCATTTTAACATAACCAGATAATTTAATACCAAAACACGATGAAATTGCACAAAAAGGAAATTATAGATTAATTTCACTTAGCCATATACTTTCCAAAATTTCAAGTAAAAAGCCCAGAATTCAGCAGTAAATTAAAACAATAAAACATTTTGAAAATGAAATAGGGTTTGCTCCTGCAAAGGGTAAAAAGAAGTCTCAATAATAGAAAATTAATTCTTTTATGGTGATAAACATTTTAGAAGCTTAGTTTTTTTTTTTTCCCCCTCCGGTACCGGGAACCGAACTCATGACCTTGCGCTTGCCAGGCAGGCGCGTTTGCCGCTGAGCTAAATCCCCAGCCCCGGTGATAAACATTTTAAAAACAAATGGTACAGCTGTTTGTGAAAAAAAGCATTAATTGTATCTATTGGTTGGTATTGATTAAAATTCTTGAGACAAATATAAAAAGTAGAAAATTTTCCTTGTAATGCAACAGACTGAATTTCTTAACCATAAAGTTAAGATCTTACATCAATGATTAAAATAACTTACCTAGTGGGAATAAGAACTGATACCACCCCAGCAGAGTCCTGCTCAGTAAGATAAAACTGTAAACTGACAAATGAATTCAGTTTGCTCATTAGGCACTGATAAATTTTACCTAAGCAAACAGCTCACTTAGACAATACATAACTTGCTTGTCAAGACTCCCACTGAGGACCATATCACACCTTCGCGTCGACCTTCAAAGTACTGCATGATGAATTCTGTTCATTCCTATTCAGTTCCCCACCGCAGACCATATCCGTCCAGATCTCAACGCCCATATGTCCTACTTTGTAGATATTACTAAGCCCTGTTGAGGTGGTGTTTTCCCTTGCTGCGATAAGTTTATTAACTCAGTTTTGGTTGGTCATAGCTCTTTGGGGGAAATAGAACAGGAAAAATGTGCTGTTTAAACCCAAGAGTTATTCTACAGAAACCCATTTAAATCAAGGGTGGGTAATGCTTCCACAACTTGTTTAAGTGCTCTAAAAGTACCAGACTGTGGACTTTATCAAAATCAGGACCAATTGGCAGGGGAGAAATCAAAACTCAACATTTGCAAAGAATTTGGTATACATTTTGAAAAAAAATCTGAGAAGCAATGAGAAACAGTGAGGTGACCATGTACCCCCAAAAATAAAACTAAACTTCCAGATACAGAAAAACGAACAAACTAATAAATTAAAAGAAAATCCCAGTATCAAAGTGAAAATATTAACCACAATTCAAATTAATGAATGAAAAAGACATACCTTGTTCTTGGGTACGAAGACTTACTATTATTAAAGAAACCATTCTCCCCTAACTTAATTTATTAAAGTTGATGAAATTTCAGTCTAAACTGTAATTTCTTCCAACGAGAAGACAAATGAGACGGGAGGCAGAAGAAGAGACACACAGATCCATAGAACAGAAATGGAGCCAGTCACAGATGAGAATACAGCATATGTGCAAGATGGCATTACAGATAAATGGGCAATTATTGGCAAATAATCGCAAGTAATGGCAAATAACTTAGCAACTTTAAGTAGATTTCAAAAGAAAAAATTTCTCATGATTTAAGAATCTGAATTAAAAAAACACAAAAGAATTTAAAGTTAACATAGGTGAAGGATTTTATGGACTCAGTATAAATATCTTTCCAAAAATGACATGGAACTTAGAAGCCATAAAAGTGAACATGGTTATACTTGAACATATAACAACCATACACATTCTTATAACAAAAACAAAGTTTAAAAGTGTGTAAAAATATCTGTAATGATTAACAATCCAAAACTTATTTTACCAATAATAAATGTGCTTTTTGAAATCTGAGACTAAAACCTCCCCATACCCCCAAAATTGGACATAAAGAAGAAATTAAAAAATACAGATGGCTAATAAACATGAAAAAATGATCAAACTCAAAAACAAAAGAAATACAATTTAAGACAATAGTTTGGGCGATTGCACTGGCAAAGATTTTAAATATTTATAAAATCCATTTATCTGTGAGGTTGTGAGAAATTTGGCAATCTCATTCATTGCCATTAAAGTTATTAAACATATTTTAAAGGAAATCTTGCAATAATTCTCAAAATTTGAAGCGTGCACACCCTTAATCCCAGTAATTCAACTGCTGAGGAATTTTATTATGATATCATTGACAAAGCAGAATTGTTGATATGTAGGGAGGTTCATTGCACAGAAATTTGGTGCTAACATAAACATCTATGAATGAGAAATGCTTAAAACATTTAATTATATTTCATCTACAAAACAGTTATGCAGTCACTCAACAAATGACACAGATGTGTATATATTAGAAAATGCCCACTGAAAAGACTGATAAATGAAGGCAGTAATTTGCAGACGAATGTATTACAAGATGGACCCACTTCTAGACCCCCTCCCAAAAATAGCATGTGCACATCTATCCATTAAAAGAATGCACACACCTCCCTTAACAGAGGAAAACTATAGAATTGAAAGAGAGCAGGGAACCAATTTATATGTCAATTGTTTGGATATGCTTTGAATTTTGGGAAAAAAAATCATGCAGTTTCTTTAAATATATGCTATTTTAAAATTTATCCAACATGGCAAATAAAAATTATAAATGTATAGGAGCACTGAGAAATTCCACCATTTTGAGCTTCTTGTGCATTATTATTTCCTCTACTGAGGCTCCTGGGATTGAGTCAAGTGGCAGCAAGGGAAACAGTCACCATGCCCAAATTAAGGTCTCATCGATGACATCCCAACATGAGCATTTCTCAGTTAAGCATTTCTTATCTGCAGAAGGTATCCGCTGCCACGCAGGAAGGAAGGACGCTCCATGCAAAGGAAAACTGTCACTGTTTCGGTGAAGATGGCGGTAGGAGGAACAGCACCAACTGTAACTTATCACCCCATCTGTCACTGTAACTGTCACCTGCAAGGTCACAAAGGGAAGAATGAGCAAAAGTAAAAACACACTTCCAAAGCAGTCAGGGAGGCTACGAAAACCTTATTTATTACTCTCCTACATGTGCTGGAACACATGTTCCTAAAGTTCACAGAAAAAACCCTAGTTCCAGCCCTGGGGTGCAGGCTGTAGCCAGAAAAATAGATATTGCTGTTGCTTTTCGTCCTTGTTCTGGGCTGAAAAAAGTTAAGCACTCCCAAGCAACCTCAGATTTTGCGTCTTTCTCTTCCTGCCTGTATTTGACTCCTTAAAGCTCTACGCCACTCATTCCCTTGGATAACTATTTTGAATGAAACTATCTGTCACCCTTCCAACCTAACATACATTGAGACTGTGTCTCATGAATACATCAATTTTTTAGCAACACAATGCATCCAGCCTTGAAGATACTTAGCTCACTGGATGAGAGAAGATAAAGAAATTCTTTACGGTGACAGAAAACTTACAGAGTTGTAGAAAAGTCATGAAGGCATTTCTCTTAACCCATTATGTACTCTGGTCATTGGAGGCAATTAAGATGCACATAAAAGTCATCAATCTTCAAGAAATCAACATCTCATTTTATACCCAGACATGGCTTCTCCTAGGGACCAAGGACTATTCTAACTAAAACACTTACCTTCAGAGGGTTTGCAGGTGAAGAGTTTTATGAGTAATCTTCTTTCAAGGATTTACTGGTAGCAGTGATTCCCAGACCTCCCAGGAAGTCACTTTCTAAAGTAAAAAAAACAAGAAACATCACTTTCAAAGAAATAGGCAATGCAGCTGAGAACTTCACTCTTTTCTTCTCTCATATTGACTTTACTAGGAAACCACCTCTTTTTTACAGAGCTCTGAAACCATAACTGTCTGTTCTATACCGCTATAAATTTCAGAACCATCACCTTGATTCAGGGCTTTTCTCTCTTATTTTTTTGTTGTTTTGTTGTTTTCTTTCTGGTACCGGGAAACGAACTCACGACCTCACGCTTGTCAGGCAGACACTGTGCCGCTGAGCTAAATCCCCAGCCCCAGGGTTTTTCTCTCTTATGCATTTCTAACACTGAGTGGATTGCCTGGGTCCCACTAAAAATTATGTTCTTACTTTTAAAAAAATAATTTATCTTTACCTAGTTGGACAGGTTGCTTATAAAAAAAAATCACTCAAAGCAGTCTACTTATTTATCTTTTCTCAACAAAAGCTTGCTGGGAACTTATTCTATGACAAGCACTCTACAAGCTGTCCTATGTCACACACAGACACACAAAAAACCAAGCTAAAAATTATCTGGCTTAGCTTAGTGTGAAAGCTCTGGATTTAATCCTCAGTACTGAAAAAATAAAGTCCAACAGATGACTCAGTCATACTAATTTACTGGTTTTTTTTTTTATTTTTTGGTCTTTTTGAGACAGGGTCTCACTATGCAGTTCAAGCTGGCCTTGAGCTCACTTTGTAGCCCAGGCTGGTCTTGAACTCGCAATGATCCTCCTGCCTCAGCCTCCCAAATGCTGGCACTACAGGTGTGCGCCACCATGCCCAGCAATCATACTAATTTAGAGCTGAGAAATAATGGTCTGATTCAGTTGAGGGTAGGTTTTTTTTTTTTTTTTGAGGGTGGAATTACTGAAGAAAGATCCTGAATTTAGGAACACTTGTGATGGTCACAGAGCTGTAATTCACCATTACAGTAACCACATTCATCTAGCTCTTGGATGGATTTTTAATGTTGTTTGGCTGCAACCAAATTTCGTCCGGCTTAAGAAGAGCAAGATTCATCAACTCATATCCATCTGAGGTCTCTTCCCTATAAACGTAGTTCCTTGCCTACACAGTAATCATACCTGCAAGACAGTCCAAGAGACCAGAGGAGTGGACAGTCTGACTGGAAAGTAAGTTGCTACTCATGTTCTGGAACTAACATTTGGGAGTTAATGTAAGAGCCTGAACAACTGCCCCTCTTTTCTGGGCTCTATCTTCACCTGCCAGAACAAAAACAAGAGGGGAAAAACCATTTTAGGAAAAAATGTGCATATACACACACATACACACACCTGTGTGTACAAATAAGCCATACTCACACAAGCACACACACGTAAGCTAACAAAACGTCAGGTATGAAGTGTGAGTATCCTACAGAGTACACAGACTAGGCAAGATGGATGTTGCTAGTTCTCTGTGTCATGAGCACAAATATGCATGCTTTACCTTTCCCCATAAGGTCCAATGGACAGAGAGAGGAACAAGCTGATAATGATGAAAGCAGGACAAAACATCCTGTTCTATTAGCCTAAATGTTATAAAATAAAACTTTTACTGCTGTACATATGGCAACAAAAATATGGTCATTCTATCAAACTCAAAGGAAAGCTCCATCCCATTTGTCAATTCTATTGATAAATTATTTTATTTCAATCTCAGCTATTTTCACAAGACCATCTTTATAGGGAATGTGTAGGACAATAATATATAAATATCAAGAGAGATTATATTACATTAAATTACTCTTTAAAAAAAGTCTAAAATTTGCCCCAAAGCAATAATTTTGTGAAAGGATACACTCATGCACAATAATCAGAAGTGTCCTAACTGCTGTTTATCTAAAGACATCCACAAATATATCTACTTATGAATTTTTTAAGAATTTAAATATGACTAAAATGTCTGTATGTGACAAAATGAGGGACATATTTGATTACTATATTCAGAGTCCCCTTAAAAATACATAGAACAATGAATGGCTTAAATGTGACTTACTAATCACGGTTTTGTTGATTACCCAATGGACAAATGAGAAATAGTATACATCTCAATCAGATCTGCTTTCTAAGTCATCTGCAGGATACTATGTTAAATTTCACCAAATGTACTTATAGGTTTTCTTCTATAGTCCTGTGACCCATTAAGATATCTTCAACACTAGATTTATATAAAGTATAAAGTTGCACCTTTTACCTATAAAGAAAAGCCAAGCTAAAACATAATAATAATTAAAACTTGCATTTGTCTACTGTATATACATGTACCGATATAAGATTGCTGTCTGCTTTATTTCGTGTTCTTGCTTCCTGAAGTTAATAAACTTAGAAATATTTATCAACCTAGTAGTTTACAGTTCTATTTTCAAACATACTTTCCTCCAAATAATCTAGCTAAGATTTCAACATTTATTTTATAGAGCTTGTTCTCATCACATCTATATCTTTGTATCATATATTAATATACTAGCAGCTCTAAACAATTAGCATACAACAGGACTTGTTGATGTGACAGTGAAAATGTTTGTAATTCTATGCTGTCCATGTGTGGTTCTCTCAACACTTATCCATTGTAGGATAAGTCTTACCTACAAACATGCAATTCCCTGCCCTCCTAGTCACACCTGCAAGAGTATGAACACTCACAGAGATACACTCTAGCCTCATGTGGCTACCGAGCATGTAAAACGTGTCTAGTGTTACTCAACAACTAATGTTTAGAGTTTAATTTTAATTAATTCCTACTCAGACTTAAGTAGCCGCCTGTGTCTGGTGTCTTTTTAACTGCACAATGCAAGTACAGAGGTCACAAAAGAAAACTGTAAAACATTTGTAATATACACTCATACATACAAAAGATATAACTATCTGGAAAGATGACTGATCTTTGAAAATGTAGAGAAATATGTCAAAAAATAAAGTTTTTTCTACATTTCTAAAAAGAATATTTTTCTACAGCAGAATACAATCAAATTTATAAGTAAAAAGATTTTAATTGTTCAGAGTCAGAAACTCGAAATTCAGTACAACTTTCTAGGTGGATATTCTGTCTACCACTGGGTGGTATTGTTGAGAATAGTTTTAGACAAACTGTAGAAATCGTAAGTCTGCTCCTTGCCTAAGTATCTCAGGGGGCTATCTGAGGGTAGTCCACGAGTCTGCATGCAGAAATAGCTTTCTAAAGCTATTTTACTTTATATATTCTTCTCTTGGGGAAGCTGGGAAACGTGGTGTTTGTGGGTGAATCCAGCCTTGAATTATGCCACCTTGTTGCATAGACCTAGACCACGGGGCTTACAAACTAGATCCAGTCAGTGATAGGAGACCTCTGCTAAAGGCCCTTGGAGTGCTAGTGTTTACACTGCCACTGAAGTAGGGCAGTGCTCAGGTGGTGTTAGGGTGTTTCTTAGTGGTTTGCTTAGTGTACCAAGACACAGGTTTGGCCTCGGAAGGAAATAGTTAAAAATAACATTATAACAATAAGGAAGTGTTAATCAGACAACAAAATAATTGTTATATTTTGTTCAGATTACTATTAAAAAGAAAAATCTCACCATAAATCATCTTTTGAGGAGGTTGCAATGTATAATGGTTCCTGCTAGACAAAGGTCTGAAAATCCCTTGGGGCCAGAATAAACCTTTGGTATCAGATATATACTAAATTTGGTCCTAAAAGTTACTGCCCACAAATACGTGGATGTGGACCTGGGTCGGCTGAGCTTTCGGAATTGCAAATGCCTTTCCAACAGAAGACGCAGTTATTTCTTTCAAAGGAATCACAGGAACACATCTCTTAGGCAAAAGTTTAGGCTAATGTGCTGCAGAAGAAAAAGATACGAAGTGTCCTGAAATGGGAAAAGAAATACAGCCTTCTCATTCACTGTCTCCTCAAAGCTTGCTACTGCCAAGGGAGTCCTGATGAACTGTACCAATAGTACCGTTCACATCTGATTCTTAGGTTCAGATGAAAGAAACACTAATTTCTCTAAGTAAAACAGTGCTTCTGAGCCATTGCTTTTTTATCAACCTTGGATAATATTTTAGATATTTTTATTTTTTTTTTAATCCACACCATCTCTGCTCAAATTTTAGTAGGACACTTAGGCTATATGTCTGTCTATTCACATATCTCACAAGCCAGTAACATAACGAAGATTTTCTTTTTAAATCCTCAAGAACCATGAGGATTTTCATCCATGAGGATTAATAATTATGTTGCAAAGACATGCTGTTACAGTTTGTGTCTAGATGTCCCCTCAAAGGCTCTTGCAGTAATGGAGCGGGCTTCTAGAGTGTACGATTGATTCATGGTCCAGTGCTGGGGTTATGGGTGTGAGTGCTACACCTGCCCTGGGGCAGGGAGCCTGCATACAGTGTAAGGGAGGGAAAGAGTCTTGTTCACTAGCTCCTCCCTTTTTGCTCTTGCTATGTTTGCTGTTTTCCCACTGCCATGTGCCACCTGCCTTGGTGCCAGCTGAGTATGAACTGAAACCTCCACAGACTCCACAGACTTTGAGCTAAATAAACCTTTCCTTCCTTAACTCTGGGTGTCAGGTATGGTGTCTCAGCAATGAGAGAAAAGTAACTAAGACAAATGCTGTACAGTAACTTGAGAAAAATAACATATAGGATGTTCCAGCCTGTCATGAACTGTGTTTAGAGGTAGTTTCCCCTTCTCTTTGCTTTATTTTGGGATCACAAAGATGGAGAACACCCCTTCAATAATTAGGAGAGACACAAGATAGAAATAAAGATTGTAAGACAATACAGTGTTTACATATGAGGGTCTGATTTGTTTCACTTATGAGTATGGTCTCTAGTTGTGTCCATTTACTCACTAGTGTAAGAACCTGAAAAAGTGAATAAAATCTAAAAGGTACACTATATTTTGTGAAAAGAAAGAAACTGCTCAAAAGGAAAGAACAACTGGGATGAGGGAAAAGAGAAAAGAAAGAAGGGAAAAATATGTATATATGTATACACAGGATAGCTAAGATAGTTGTACTACTGATTTCTATTGTTTTATTGAAAGGAACACTTAATGCTTAATTGTGTGATCAGTCTTACATGCCTATATTTGTTTATCTGAGTAACCAATTTGAAGATATCAATATGTAGTACAACAACCATTGTTAATTTCCTATCACCTTGTCTGAAATTTTGTATTGCTTATATTGTCTTTGTGTTATTTTGTAAATGTCTGTGTGTCATTAATATGTTTTTGTTCTTTATTTTTAAAGCTAAAAAAAGGAAAATTAATAAAGATTGTATTATTTACAGGTCCTGGGGAGTACATGGCATGCATGGGGTCACACACATAGAGGTCAGAAAGCACAGAGAAACAGGGAAGGGGATGAGGTGGGAGAAAGCAAGAGGGAGAGAGAGGGGATATATCTGGCCCAGATCCACATCCACGTATTTGTTAGGAGTCAGAGACAGACAGACATCAAGGTCCTCTCCAAATAGCTTTCCCTTCAGGTTTTACTGATGAGTGTAAAGCAAGTGGGCATGAGTTCCAGGGGTTCACACTGTGACTGACAGACGGTCACTGTAGCACACCTGCACATTCTGCGTGGGGTGTGGGAGTCCACAGTGCCAGTCAAGGCAGCTGCATACAGCAGTGCCACTGAGAGTTCAAGGAAGATACCAAGATGTGCTAACCAGAGGCAGTTACAAAAGGCAGCCATGTGCACTGACTGCATGGAGCACCTGGTGAGAGGTACAGAACTAGAAGCTATGGTGGATGGCTACCTGGGTGAGAAAGGTAAGCATATTCACAGCGGACACTGAGTCAATATCAGTGTGTGAGATTTTATCACATTCTTCCAATACTCACACCCAGTGGGGCACACTGCTGAGGCCTCAGTAACATTCTCTCAACCATATGCCTCACTGTGGCCTCGTATCGTCTTCATTACTAAAAGAGTAAGAACCGGGGCTGGGGATTTAGCTCAGCAGCACAGCACCTGCCTGGCAAGCGCAAGGTCATGAGTTCGGTTCCCGGTACCGGAACCGCCTCCACCAAAAAAAATGATTAACTAAAAAATTCTAAGTGGCTATAAACAGATAAATTCATTATCGCTGATGCTCTGTTTTTGAAGGATCTTCTGGAAAACTCACAGGGATGAGCACTGACAGAACCAAAATGTAAGTGCTGTGTTGCTGAATTTTAAGTGACAGTAGAACTTGCTCTCCTCCATGGTTCTCCCCTAGAGGATGCACGATGGGGCAAACAGGAACATTCCCGCCGTGTCCTCTCTCGTTCCTCATTTTAGTGCGCCCGTATAGCTAAAGATCTGTCAATTGCATTCATCATGTACGAACTCAACTTTTGGTTTCATGGATTTTCTCTAGATTTTTTCTTTCTTTATGTCATCAATTTCTACTCACATCTTTAGTATTTACTTACATTTGGTTGCCTTTAGCTTCATTTTCTTAGTAGTTTTCTTATTTTTTGAGTTGGAGGCTTGGGCTATTTATCTTTCCCTTCCAATTTAGTCATTTAAAACTACGTATTTCTCACTAAGTACATTATTAGTTGTGTCAGACTCAGTACAAAATGTTATAGTTTAAAATTTTTCATTCACTTATAGGTTCTATAAAGTGTGTTAACTTCCAAATATTTGACAATTTCCAAATTCATTTTTCTTTTGACATCCAATTTAATTTTCCTATCAGTGTAGCTGATATTCTACATGATCTTAATCCTCTTAGGTTTACTGAACACAGTTTTAGCTTTATACTCTCCTGGTATATCTTCCCTCTGCCCTCTAAGGTCAAGTTGGAGAATTAAATTGTTATTATTGTTGAATTACCTTTTATTCATTCAATTATATCAGCTTTTGTTTTATCTAATTTTGAGCACTATTGTTAGTGCTTGTATGATTATCATTACTGTATATTCCAGATTATAATTAAATCTTCTTCCATAAAATAATAGATTTAGCTCTAAGAATATTTTGTCTTAAAGTCTGTTCTCTGTGATGTTAGTATAGCCTCTCCAGCAATCTTCTGGACATTTTTCCCCTTTGTTCTCTCTCCTATCTCTGTCTCTCTCTCATAGCTTTTCCCATTCAAACTATTTGTGACTTCTGTTCAAGAGTATGTCAGTGGTAGACAGTCTATAGCTATTTCATTTGTTTAAAAACATAGAATGTTCCAGTACTCTTCAAAAGCTAAATGGAACTGTCATAAGGCTGGATTTATGTCTGTCATTTTCCTATTTTCTATGTCTTATGTCTGAATCTTTGTTCATTTTTAAACGCTTTTTTGGTGAAAAATAGTTATTGTCTATTACGCTATTTTAATTCTTCAGCAGTTCTTTTAAACATTTTGAGTTATTTTCTTCACAGTGGTCCTAATATTTACAAAATGTATCTTAAATTATCACAATATACTTCAGATTAAAAATAACTTTGTCATATGGCCCCTTCTATGTCTTGTAATCAGAGAAGCAATTATTACTTACTTTGTTTATATTCTCAGTTGATCATTTATCATTGTCATCCTTGATCTAGCACACTCATAAAAGGGACAGATGGCAGATACTAAATGCTAAAGATTCCATCCCTCTTGGACACAATGGGCATACTATAAAGTCATGGAGACCAGGGAAGAAGTCAGCCCATGGCTAGCCAGCATAAACAGACTCTCATTATCACTGGAGAGTTACAATCCCCTAAGAAGACATCAGTCAGCACTGTCATATGCAGGACAACATGCTTATCATGAGAATTCCCACTGTGTCTCAAGAATGGATGGTAGAATTATTCCTGATAATAATTATTCCTAATAAGTCCCTTCATGCTACATCTTAAGAGCAATGTATAAACTTTTTCATATGAAACCAGTTTTTAGTATGTGTTGACCTGTGGGAATACAGTAAAAATGTGAGAACATGAAAAACGTATGTGTCCCTTTATCAAACACGCACCAGATAGGATTATCGTGTCTGTATATAAGGTACACTAACTTGTAACTCTGCTGACATGTTTCTGATATCATTATAACACAGATAGTGCAAAAATTCTGGGGGACAAAAAAGAATCCCCAGATGATTTACCAGGTTACTAATGTCTCATACTATTTGGATTAGTAGACTTTGTAAGAGAAATTTAATTCTAATTTACCTAATAAATAACAAAAATCACTTAGAAAAATACACTTATTAAAAATAGGATATGATTTCTGGCAGGCATCATTTTGATCTTTCACACAGAAGAAGCTGGTGACAAAACAAAGTGACAAAAACTTTCTCTGGGTGTTAGTAAGAATTCCAAGCAGCGAAACTTCCCTTCCTGTCAACATCATTTTCAATCTACAAACAACAGAGAATCTGGGGAATTGGAAAGCCAAACTCACCCAACTGAATATTTAGTAACAAGTGGTTGTAAAGAATTTTGCAGGTAATCACTTAACTATCTGTATTTTTTTTCTCTTTTCATTTTTTTTGGTACCAGAAATCGAACTCAGGACCTTGCGCTTGCCAGGCAGGCGCTTGTGCTGCTGAGCTAAATTCCCAGCCCTCACTTAACCACCTATATAACAAGAACAATTAACACTCACTCCATGAAACATGGACATATAGAAATAAAATGAAATAGGATAATACTAGAAAATAGGAATAAAATGAAATTCAAGGTAAAATTTGTAAAATACTGTTTTGAAGTTTCTTTAGTACACCCTCCATATTAAAACTATAATTTATCTTTAAAAACATTGAAAACCCACTGAGGGTGTATATAAGTGGCCAAGAAAATCCACGCAAAAATGGGAATTACAAACTGAATAATTTCACTCTAAAAATCCTAGTAGTTGAAACTAGCATTTATTTGTATATAAAATTGCTCTCAGCTGATCAGAAAAAAGAAACAAGGATTCAATGCTAATGCCTATTAGCAAATAACTTAAAATACATTATGAAGATTCTACCTTTATCCCTTTTCACTTTCTATACACTTATTTCACTTGCTAGAGAAATTAACAGTAAAGTCTTATTCGGTTTAGAGTTAGACAGTTTCCTTGCCTTCAAGAGACCAGCATTGCCACCAATTACTAGCCCCAAAGCTGCCTGCTAGTGCTAAAGTTCCCCAGGGTCAGTGGAATGTTGTGATACTCTTAAGACAAGTGTCAGTGTTTTCAGAAACAAAACAAAACAGAACAAAAAACACTTACCATACAAGAACTCCCCTTGAATCTTGAGATTGAGAGTGAATTTCTCCTTATCCTTTCCTTTGTGTCACAACAGAAAGGAAAGAAGAAATTTATCCATACGAAGCCCAGTTCTGTCTTCTTTTACCTGTAGAAAGAAACATATATACGAATGAATATGAGAAGGGTTCTGTTCATTTTTCATACTTGCACAAGATAGGAGATTTTATTATAAATGTGTATGCAAAGTACAGTAACTTTAAAATCCCTATAAGATATTTTAGATACTATTTGAAGTAGAGAAAAGCACAAAATCTTAATGAGTGATATCTCAGACAGCTCATCATATTAATAATGGTCAACAATATTTGTGTTAATCAATTGCTCACACATTATATTATTGGTAACTTTAAAAATACTCAAATCACACAAAAATGAGTTCATTACTGTTACCCTAAGAGTACACTGTTTTGTTCCTTCACAGATGAAGGTGACAAAAATCAGAACTTCACTGGTTTGGCGATGACATTCCAGGGAATTCTGGTATTCTTCATCTACAAAATACAAAATAATTAAGGAAAATTATGATAAGGAAAACAAAATTTTGCTAACTAATCGTTTAGTTACAAGCAAATATAAGAATTCATATAACATTCACTAGATCATCAGTATCACAAAAACAAGTATGTCTGCATCTTTGACCATAAGAGTATAAAATATTTGATAACTCATCCCAAAATTTCCCCAGTACATCTACTTCAAAGCTTTTATCATAATGAGGTTCTATCTTTGAACACAATAGATAACACTGAAGATATATTAAGCTGTACAATAAAATCTACATGAAAATGTATTTGAAATATAATCATTTCACATCTACAATGTTTTCTGTATCATATATTTGAATGCAACACCAAAAAACATACACAACCATGTGCTTTTTATAGGAAAAACTAAAAACAAAGAAACACTTGTCTCAGTCCTGGTGCCTGAATTGTTAAGAAAATTTAACCACTATTGCATGATTCCACATACAGTACCTTCATTCAAAAGCAGCCCCTTAACAGCACTGCAGTCTGTGGAGCTCTCTGGGACTCTCGGGGTGTGCAGATCTTCACACTATGACTCTGGAATCTGCCATATGTGAAGTGCTGAAAAAACAAAATCAGAAATCAGAAAAGCACATGGATAAAGCTCATGAGGGCATTCAATTTAACCAACTGTCCTTATATTTATTTTCTAAGATTCATATGCCTCAGCTGCTCTTCATACAGTACCAGACGAGCGTGCACAGGAAAAATATTCACTGTGAGTGTATGCATCATCATACCACAGACTGCAAATCTCGAACCTGGTGTTGAAGCCCTCCTCTCCATATCTGCAATGTGACATAGCAATAGCTACAGAACTTGCCTTTCCCAAGAGGAAGCCTTGACCTCTCCAGGGGTTTGGCAGGCCATAGACAGCTAGCAGTATGATACAGTACTGCATGGGAATAGCACAGTAACTCCATGGATGACGCCCCACTGTGGACTGGGGACCAGAAAAGCACACTGGCCCTGGAAACCTCCCTGCTGACGAACCGAAGACCAACACTACAAGTGTTCCTGTACACTGCCAAAGCAGCACCTCCGGAGGCTGGGAAACATTTATAAGCTGCTCACCTCCCCTGCACTGAACATTCACAAGACTTCTCTATTATGCTTCCCCTCTGCTGCTATGGTTTCAGCCACTGCAGAACATAAAAGTTACCGGTACAGATCGAGTGGCAAAGTCCCGAGGCAGCAGACTTAGTGTGCATGGGCAGCTTAGCTCATGGCCTCAGAGCCTATGTACTTCCTTCTGAGTTCTGCTTTCAGTAAAAGCTGACCTTGGACTCTCATTCCAGGTTACAGAAATGCTCATTGCTAAGACAGAATAGATGAGAAGAGATGGGAATCCTACATAAGTGCTATGGTCATTCAAATGGGCAGTCAGATCCAGGGTCATTACTGACTAATACTAACCCCAGTACAAACCATGACATAGCCAGTGGAAATCTCACTCCTCAAATAATCCTGAAGGACATCTGTACATCCTGTCCCTAATACTTCTCAGGGAGGACCATGTCCTACTACTCCTGGCCCAAGTGAACACTGCTCCCAATGGGAGTAACTGCCAGCTGACCATCACATTACCTACTCTCCAACCCCCCCAACTCTCTACCTTCACTGTAGAAACGTGCTGGACCTCAGTTCGATGAGAATGACGGTATAGATTTTTCACTCATTTTGTTCAGCTTTCCAAGGAATGCATTTATGAGTGTCATCACTGATCCAAGCACACTCTAAGCCCTATAAATTAGGAATTGTGGTGTGTTTACAATTGCCACCCCTTACCTTCATCAAACATCCACTGCTACCCCAAATAAGTCAATCCACAAGCATTTGAGGACTCGTCGGCTTCTCTGAGGACCTCAGGATGCACAGTTCTTCTCTCTAGATCCCTGAAGTCCCTCATATGGCAGTGCCAACTGGGAAATGCAGAAGAAACACAGGCACGCTTAAGAAAAGGAGAGAGGTATACAGAGCATGAGGGAAATGTCATTCACCCTACTGTGTTCTTATCCACTAAAATCCATGTGTCTCAATTGCTCCTGGTATATTACAGCAAGACATGTGCGCATGAGACAAGCATTCATTAAGAGTACATGCATCATCACACCGAAGAACACAGACATACAATCTTTTAACAAAAAGCCACACCAGAGGTGTGTGGAGAGCCTGCCTTCTGCCAAAGAAAGCCTTCACCTCTGAGGGGGCCCTGTAGGCCACAGGCTACTAGCACGATGAGTATACGACAGCACTGTGACTCCATTCAGTTGTCGATGTAATATTCCCTACTATGGACTGGGTACAACAGGCACACTGGTCCTGGAAACTCCCCCTTTTAACCAGCACATGGCAAAAACTGAGCACAGCACCACATCCACTTTTCAACACACCGTCAAAGACAGCAGCTCTGTGACACTATCCAGTGTTCATGAGGTGCTCCAATCCCATTCACTCTCCTCACTCTTCTCTTGGCCAATGCAGAAGATAAAAGCTGTTGCACATGCTATGGTAGATGCCATAATCAACCACCTCAGCATGCAACGCCATTTTACTGTGTGGTTCACAGCCTCTGTATCTCTGCTGCCCTTCCTTGTTCTCTCTTCAGCAAAGACTGAAAAGAAACCCTAACTGCATGCTGTAGGCCTACTCGTGGCTGGTACTTGGCAGCCAGAAGACATGGACACACTGAATGCTATACAAATGATATGGCCAGTAGGGAGGGTAGCCAGGGATCTCAGGGTTATTGCTGACCAATCACTGTCATGGGACTAAAACTCCAAGACATCAAATCACTTTGATGGGCATGTGTGCAATACATGCACAGTACTCTCTTCCTAACACTTCTCTCACCCTTTAATTACCCACCCCTTTGGTATTTCTCCAGGCCACTGCTTCAAGGGAAACTGCATATATAGTCTCTGGATCTCTGCTGGTGAGCAAAATCCTAATGGTCACCAACAGAGGACCTTTGCCCACGGATCACACCCTATTGCCCCGGGCCCAACCACTATCAAAAGAGTCAAAGCCAGCATTAAGGCCTGCTTGGGGATCCATTCTGAACCACATTTTCCTCTAGAGAATGGAGGACCGAAAGCACCAAGACCACCAATGATGAAGGCTAGGAGGTAGGCTAAATCTTCCTGGACCACCAGCAACTCAGCAACCTATACAGACTCCATGCCTCCAAGCCCTGGTCAGTAAAAGCATAGCCAGGAATTCAAACAAGCTACACACTGTTCCTAAGAATCCCCCAAATCCACTAACACCTCTTTGAGTAAGGAGGGCCATATCCTACTCCTGGCCCAACTGGGAGGTGCTCGTAATGGGAATTAATGATCAGTTGTTCCATTCCACCCTGTATTTCTCTGGTTCCCACTGCAGCAGTGTGCTTGGCCTCAGTCCTACGAGAATGACAGTATTGATTTTTCATTCCTTCTGTTCAGCTTTCCAGGGAATATATGTATGAGAGTGATCATCAATCCAAGCACATTCTTAAGTCCTAGAAATTAGGAAACTCAAGTGAGCTTCTGCACGGAGCTGCTTACTATCATTAGCTATCCATCATCAAATGAAAGAAACCACTCCAGACATGTCCCAAGGCTTGCTGACCTCTATGGGGATCCGAAGATACACAGGTCTTCCCAATAGGTCTTTGGAGTCCATCACATAGCGACGCTACCTGGGAAGTACAGAAGAAACACAGGCATTCATCAAAAAAGTATATGGTTCACAGGTCACAAGGGCAATGTAATTTGTCCTCAATCCTCTTATCTGCTATCTCGAATCCATGTGCCTCAGCTGCTTGTGGTACAATATAGCCAGATGTGTGCAAGAGGCATGCATTAATTGAGAATGCATGCATCAGCACACCAAAGAGCACAAAGCTAGATCCTCTTATCAAAGTTCTGTTCACACCAGCAACAGTGTATAGCAATACATATAGAAAGTGCCTTCCACAGAAGCAAGTCTTGAACTGTGTGACTTGTCAGCCACAGTCTACAGGCAAAAGAGGTGCAGAACTGCATGGAACTCTACAAGGTCACTCCATGGACAATCATGCCCCATTGTCCACTGGGTATGAGCAGGATAGAATGGCCCTGGAAACTCTTTTTACTGATGGGCACTTAGCCCAAATTCAAGAATCAGCATCACAAATACTTTCTGACATACTGCCAAAGTCAGTGCCTCTGCAATACTGAACAATACTCACTTCTGCTCTACTACCCTGCGTCAGACTCATTTGAATAGGGCTTCTCTATTATGCCTCTTCTCAAACACCCTTCTATCAGCCAATGTACAGCACAAAAGTTCCTGGCATCCAGGGATAGTCATCAGACAACAGTTTCAATATGTGAGTTTATTTTAGTGTATGGCCTCATTGCCTGTCTTTAACAAAGGCTAAAACTGGACTCTAACCTCACATGGTGAGGCTGCTGACACCTGGAACATGTTAGGGCAATAGAGACAGAGACACTGAATCCTACATGAATGCTATTACAATTAGGGTGACTAGATAGGGATTCTAGGAGCATGACTGACCAACATCTGCCTTGGGTCCTAACCCTCTGGGACAGACATTTGTAAACATCTGTCACAGAGTCACTTTGAAAGGTGGCCACAAAATAAATGCTCAGCACATTATCCATCACACTTCTCTCAACTGTGGTAGGCCTAGCTAGCCTCCATTTCACATTTCTCCATGGCACCACTGCAAGGGGAAACCACACACGTTTTCTGTTTTTCTCCAGGGACCAAAATTCCAATAGCCACCTTCTGACAACGTAGGCCCATCAATTGTAATCCATTTCCCTGGCTATTATAATCCCCAAGGCAGACCAAGAAAAGGAGCCAAGCCAACATCAAGGCCTGTCTCAGGCCCCCTTTCCAACAACCAATTCTGTCTCCTTCTAGGGGACAAAAGTTCAAAGCACCAAGACTCAGCAAACAGAGTGGCAATAAAGATACAGGCTAACAACTAAGCTAACTCTTCCAGAGATACTTGTTTTAGTTGTTGTTTTGATTTGTTTGTGACAGGTCATGAAATCTTTCTGCCTCAGCCTTCCAAGTGCTGGGATTATAAGCATGTGCCAGTCACCACAACTAGCATTCCAGAGATATGTGTACACTCTCTGAGCCATCAGGCTCCTTGTGGTCCAGTGACAGCCAGTCAAACAGCAAGCAGGCCACCAAGTGGGAGTCTGAAGTGTCCAGAGAATGGACCTTCGCATACCAAGGACCTCTTTCTACTCTTCCTGGCCCGATCAGATAGTGCCCCCAATGGGAATAGTTACCCCATACTCTCCCATCTTGTGTTTCTAGTCCCTCCTGGAGTAAGTAATATGCTGGACCTCAGTTCAGTGAGAATGACGGTTTTGAGTTTTCACTCATTTTGTTCAGCTTTCCAAGGAATGCATGTATGAGAGTCATCATCGATCCAAGCACATTGTTCAGACCTAGAAATTAAGAAGCTCAGTGTGTTTGTGCACAGAGTAACTTACCACCATCAGTCATTCATCAGCCAGGTGTCCCAGGGTTTGCTGACTTCACTGGGGACCTCAGGACACACTAGTCCTCCCTTTTGTCCCTGGAATTGGTCACACAGCAATACTACCTGGGAGGTGCAGAAGAAACACAGGCATGTTTCAGAAAGCAAATGAGTACACAGCCTGTAAGATCAGTTGAGTGTGGCCAACTGCCCTCTTACCTGTTCTGTAAGATCCATATTCCTCTCTTATTCCTTGCATAGTAGAGTCAAATATACCTGCACAGAGTGGGCATTCATTTACAGTGAATGCATTATCACACCAAAGTGCAAGAATGTACAACCTCTAACTAAAGCTCTGCTCTCCTCATCTGCAGTGTGGCAAAGAAACACCGATAGAGCCTGGCTTTCACATGAGAAAGTTCCCCTCACTGAGGGACTTGTAGGCCATACACTGCTACAGGTATAGGACTATACAGGACCCAACAAATTTACTCTGTGGACAGTATAACTGTATTAGGTACAAGGAGGGCACACTGACCCTGGAAATTTTCCATACTGAGGGAAATGGGTCCAAAATTGAACATGAGTACCAGTTATGGCTTGTGCCTAAATGTTCCCCCAATGCATCATGTGGTTATAGGTGAGGCTTTTTCAGAGCTGGCTGGATCCAGCATATGACACTGGGATTGATTCATAGTGCAATGCCAGGCTCAAGGTCACCAGGATTAAGAGTGTGCTACCTACACTAAATAGCCTGGATAAGATATAAAGGGGCAGAAAGTACTGTGGTTGTCCCGTTTGTTTTGCTACCTTCCACCCACTGTGATCTGTTTCTTCTCTCCAACATCTTTTTGCTATACTGCCCAGCCAATTACAGGCTGAAACATCTACAAACTGTGAGCTAAATAAAACTTTCCTTCTTTAACTTTGGGTGTTGAGTGTTTTGTCTCAGCAATGAGAAAAGTAACTGAGACAACACCACACCTTTCCAACATAATGACAATGCTGGCACCTCTGCAACACTGGACAGTGCTCATTACCCTCACCGTGCACAAGAACAATGAATACACAGCATGAAAGCCACGGGCCATTTCCAGCCTGTGAGGACAGAGGGGGCTCCATAGATCTTTACCAACATATCTGCAAGTTGCAAAGGATAATCCTTACCATCCTGAACCATCCACAGGCCAGGAGCTCATCAGGAGGACACAAGGCTTGTAGCCCTCCAGATGCCCAGGAACCAGGAACATGAGCAGAAGGCATGCATGCAGGGCAACTCCCCCTGAGTGGTGGACACGGAAAAAGCACATGTGAAGCCAAGGAAGGGCGTCCACTTCACCAATCCCAGGCTGCCCTGGCCTGGGATCTCAGGCATTCTGCTTGTCCTTCATGGGATACCTGAATGCTTCCCACCCACAGGAGTTCTATTTCCTTCCATGTGTTCAAAGAATGAGTATGGCTGCACTTGACTGTGTATGGCTTGACTACGTGTCTGCTGGCTCTGGCTAAGGCACTGGGGAAGGATTCCCTGGCTCATCTGCTGGCCCTCACTGTACTCAGATCAGGCTGAAACCCTGCTACACCACAGCCACACATCAAGGGATCTAGATTATTCTACATGCCAATTTCAAATTCCTCAGCACACAGATAAGTTCTATACACTGTCAGTCCAAGGACATCACCAATGGAGGGACCCTATTCTCACTGAAAGAACCGATCACTTCTGAAGGTGTGGCTGGGTGTGGGATGACTGGGAGGAAGGTCCATTCAAAGGTGAAAATTGAACACTCTTTCTTCAACAGAAAAAACGTAAGAACCTGGCCTACTCTGAGCGGAGTCAGAGCTCAGCAACACTCACGAACTAGAGGGAGGCACTAAAGACACAGCCCAAAGAAATCAGACCTGAGGACCAATAGAACAGATTAGAACATGCAGACACAACTACAAACATACTCAGCCATCTTATCTTTGACAAAGAGGCCAAACATGTTCACTGGAAGAAAGATAGCCTCTTTAATAAATGGTGCTGGAAAAACTGGCTTTCTATATGCCAAAGACTAAAACTAGACTCATGTTGATCACCATGCACTAAACTAAAGTCAAAATGGATCAAAGATCTAAACATTAAAATAGAAACACTAAATCTACTGGAAGAGAAAGTAGGTAGAAATTTTGAAGAATAGAGGTAGGCAGAGAGTTCATGAACAAAAACCAAACTGCACGAGAAACACTTCAAAGAATCAACAACTGGCATCTCCTCTTACTGAAAAGTTTTTGCACATCAAAAGAAATCACCAACAGAGTAAAAAGAAAACCCATGAATTGGGAAAAAATTTTAGCCAACTGCCCCCCTGACAAAGGACTTCTATCTAGAACATACAAAGAATTTGAAAAAATCAGGCCCCCCAAATTCAAAGACCCAATCCAAAAATGGGCATCTGAGATGAACACACACTTCTCAGATGAAGAAATACAAATGGTAAATAAATATATGAAAAACATGTTCAACATCATTGGTCATTCAAAAAATTTAAATTAAAACAATAATGAGATTTCATCTCACCCCGGAAAGAATGGCTCTCATCAAGAAATCAACCAATAACAAATGCTGGAGAGGCTGTAGGGAAAAAGGAACCCTACTCCACTGTTGGTAGGAGTGTAGACTGGTACAACCACTGTGGAAATCAGTGTGGAGATTCCTCAAAAAACTAGGATTAGAGGTCCCATTTGACCCACCTATTCCTCTTCTGGGTATTTTTCCAGAAGAATTGAAAACATCATACCACAGCAATATATGTGCACCCATGTTTATAGCAGCAGTTTGTCATAGCTAAATCCTGGAAACAACCCAAATGCCCATCAACTGAGGAATGAACAAAAAAGATGTGGCATTTTTTATACAATGGTGTATTACTCAGCTATAAAGAAAGATAAACTTGAGGCTTTTATAGATAAATGGATGCAACTAGAGACCAAACTCATAAGTGAAACAAATCAGTCTCACATGTGTAAACGTCATATTGTCTCCCTTGTGTAAGAAACTGAAAGA